AATTATTATTTGTAAAAAATATTTTTTAAATAATAAATATTGTTATTAAAAGATTTAGCTCATTATTTTAAAACCAGTTTATAAATCTATATTATTCTAATCTATATTATTGTCAAACTTAATAGTTTTAGTAGTAGTAGTGCCCCTTTGGGCATGTTTAACAGGGAACCCTTGACAGCCATTGTAACTTTTTATATAAAACCTGAACGAATATGTATGAAAATATGTAACTTATGTCAACTTCAAATTATGTAATGTCAAGGAGATATTGCAGCAATATCTCCTTAATTTTGATCTATAGCATTTATTTCCGTTTTATAAAGTCTTTTGTTTGTTAAATAGTTTTAAAATGCACATCAGTCAACATGCCTGTGTGGCCGAGTAGTTCGCTCATAGAGTTTCTTAAGCAAAAAGCTGTGGTTGGAATCCTACCACTGGCTTCATTTTTTTTGAAATACAAAATAAAGTACTTTTGAAGTTTTATAGATATTATATATTAACATATATAAAGATATTATACACTATAACAAATAAAAGTAAGTAAATTTTTAAAAAAGCTTTAAAATTCTAAAAACATCAAAGCACCGGGAGATATTTCTTATGCATATATATATATATATATATATATATATATATATATATATATTTATTTATTTATTTATTTATTTATGCATGTAATAGAAAAATAAACCATTTTATAAGCTTTTATACTGATTGCAATTAAGCAACAATTTTCAAGTGAATTCTATAAATAAGCACAGCTTTTTTACATAGTATCTAATATAACATAACAATAAACAAATATGTTATATGCAAATGTAAAAAATCCACTTATATAACATTTTATACAGGATACAAAAAAACTTATCTAGTCTGTATTACTTAAACTGTTTTGTTTTGAATTTTTGTATTTATGTTTTTGTATTTAAAGAAATTGGCGAGATTGAAAAAACATGAAATATGTTGTCTTATCCAAGCGGAAAATTTGAAACTTTGATTTTAGATTTGTCATGACTCTTCCCTCTCTCTTTAAAATTTGCTAAAACTATGTCATCTTAAAACTTCTGTTTGCTAAAACTATGTCATCTTAGTTATGCTAATTGTATACCATTAGTTTAAGTATAAATGCCTTTTGCATAAGTTAAGTTTGATAGATTCATATTGAATGATCATGTATAATATATTTATTGTATGAGAAAACTTTAAATTTTTATTTTAACAATCAGAAGTTATTTTTGGTATATATAATTTTTTGCTAAAAATGTATATAGCAAGATTGAAAAAATTTCAAAATTTTATTATGCTTCTGGATGGATTTGAACCCTCTTTAATATTCACAAAATGCACTAAAAAATTCTTTAATATTCATAAAAGCACTAAAACATTCTTTAATATTCCCAAAAGCACTAAAACATTCGCAAATATTTTAGCATTTTCTGACAATTATTTGATTTTTTAATGCTTTTATTTTTTTATGCATGCAAAAACATTCAAGGAAGCCTTGTTTATTATTAAATTGGTGTTTTGGCGGAGAAACAATCAAGTTTTTAAAAATCTTTAGCATTTTTTTTAATTTATCATTTTTTTTTTTTAAACTTTTTAACATTGAGAATTTTTAAAATAGTGTCTTTAATGCTATCAATCTCACACATTCCAACAGTGTCAAAACTTTTTATGTTAATTGATTGTTTTTCCTTTGTTAAGTTATTATTTTTTGTTTGTTATGTTTGTTAATTTGTAAAAATGTGATCATTATATTCATTGCCCATATTGTTAACTTTTTCAGTATTCTTTTCTACATCTTCACCACCAAAGTTTTTTTTTTCTTTTACAGGATCATTTGCTATTTAAATTGACTATTGCCAAGTAAATTCCATTGGAAATGCATAATTACAAGTATTATTGAGGTCTGTTGTTAAAAAAGCCTTAAACATTGAAAGTTTCAACAAAAGACATTAGAAAAAGAAAGTAAAATAAAAGTTCAACATCTAAATTATATCAAACAAAAAGTTTTTTAAATAATTAAATGTATTGAAATATAATTTGTATACACAATATGTTAGCAGAGCCGTGGCTACACTACCCTACACACCCCAATTAGGGGGGAGCAAATATTTGGGGCCCAATGCAAATTTAGGCGCTCTTTGGAAATAAAAGATGTTTTTTTTTTTTTATTTAGTAGTAGCTAGTAGAAAATATTTAGAGCCCTAATTACAGCTTGTTTGTGTTGTTTTTTTTTGGGGGGGAAAGAGGCCTCCGACCCACTAGCCGTGGCACTGTGAATTGCTGCATAAATATTTTGTTTTATACAAAATAATTTTTGTTAAATATAATATAGTTTTTATATATAAAGTAATTTTTGTTTTACATTTTAAATAAAATTTGTATATAGTATGTTTTGCAACAAACATTTTGTTTTATATACAATAAAATTTTTCCTTGTTTGACAAATTTTTAAAGTTAATAATTAATAATAATAATTCTCTTATATACATATATGCTACCTCTCATAGCTTAACCTGTTAGTCTATTTAATGTGCATATTAGGTTCAGTGTCATTAGTAGCATATAGTATGCATAAATAGTTTTGGATTTTATGAAAAGTATTATTTTCATAATACTGTTCATTAACAAATTTAGTACTATTTAACTAAGAAATTTTTTTCAATGTTAAAAAATTGAAAATAAAAAAAAAATATTTGTTTGTTGGCAATCACAATTTCAATTTCAAAGGTTTTTAACTTATGAAAATTAAATAACTTTTTTGTTGTTCTTAATGAAAACAACAAAATTCTCTTAATCTCTCAATATAGAAGAGTGCATTTTTTCAATTTATAAAAAAGTACCAGGCAAAATCTCTTGATTGAGGATACACCTATTAGGCCTATATATATATATATATATATATATATATATATATATATATATATATATATATATATATATATATATATATATATATATATATATATATATATATATATATATATATATATATATATATTAGTGATTTCGTCGGTTATCCGTTTCAAAAACCGGATAACAGTTCTCATCAATTTGTGGTTATCTGACTATTCGGTAAATTAGTGACGCTTTCTGAATACAGGGTCTTCTAAATTTCAACGAACGTAGCGTTTTAAACTAATTTTTTCAAAAATTAATGTTAAAGTGTACATTTTCAAGACAGTGAATACAATATATATTTTCATATACAATTATATATTTATAACAAAACATGGAAAAAGATATATATATTTTTTATATTATAATATAATATACCTTTTTAATTATATAATTAAAAAAGGTAGGAATAATGTACAAGTATAGTTTACATGTTTTAATATCAGCGGATGTTTTAAAATCATTCTCTCATATAAAAACATTTGATTTGGAAAAATGAGATGTTATGAAGTAAATTTTTTTATCGTGTATTTTAAAAACTTATTGTTATGCGGACATAGATGGAAGCTTGAAGATAAACTTGAATGTTCTCAAAACAACTTGTTGCGTAAAGATAATATAAAGATAATATAAAGAATATTTGCTAACACTAAAATACCGCCAAATTTACAAATAATCAAATTCTATTGGTTCAAAAAATACGCTGAATAAGCGAATTAGAGTTCCATAATATTCTGAAGAAACTTTCTTAAAAATGTATTGCTTGAGTTGTAAAAGTAATAAATAAATCTTTGAGATTTCTATTGTAAATTGTTTTAAGAATATATTATCAAACAAAACTGATTAAATTAACATTTAAATTAATAAAAGAATTATATTATAAACTTTGATAAATTAACATTTGTCAAACAATATTCGTCATAATAACGATGTTACTTTCTATAAAATTTCGTAAAATTTTAAAGTCGGTTTTTATTATTCAAAAATAGATATTTGATATTTGAACAAAATCTGGTTAACCACAAAACCGGATAACCGGCGAAATCACTAATATATATATATATATATGTATACATTTGTACATATATGTATATATATGTATTATATGTATTTATATGTATATGTATATATACAGGCCTCGGCGGGAAGCGAGAGCTTTAGCTTTTTTTTTCTCTCAAAAGTATAATTATATTTGTAGCTAAAATGAAAAGTCAAAAAAATTCAATTTACTGGATAATAAACAGGCACGGTTTTTGAAAAAAAAACAATTTTACGTCTAAAGAATTTTTTCGTGGCACAAAGTATAACACTTGTTATGTATATATTATTGTAGCATTAATGTTACAAACATATGCTTGTAACAAGTATAAAGCCAAATTTTGTATTTAATAAACAATTTTTATATAAATAAACAGATAGTTTGTACAAAAACCAAAAGCTCTCGTAAAAAGCAGTATAGAGGAGCATCTCACATAGCTTGCCATATTTGTTTTAGAGAGCTTTTTTCCACTCTTTTGCTCCCATTTACTCCTGCCGAAGCCTGTATATATATGCATATATATATATGCATATATATATATATATATATATATATATATATATATATATATATATATTATATATATATATATATATATATATATATATATATATATATTTATATATATATATATATATATATATATATATATACACAGGGCCTATTTTAGGAAAAAAATTGGGGTAGTGGTACTTCTCCAGAGAAATTTAGCGGAAAATCAACGCTTTTTTGCAAAAAAAACAATATTTGTCGTAAAAATGTCAAACAAAAAAAATGGTCCTAAAATCTTAATTTGGGCAGCGCCTAAATATGTCAACGCTGTCAAAAACAGTTTAGAATAGCCCCTAATATATATATATATATATATATATATATATATATATATATATATATATATATATATATATATATATATATATATATATATATATATATATATATATATATATATATATATATATATATATACAAATATATGCAGTTTAATAGGTAACAGGAGATATAAATATGTTTTACACAAATTAAACAGAAATTGTTTTAAAGCTTATTATTTTATTAGGTAATAGAAGATTAGATGAATGGGTACCTCAAGACCGTGTTGATCGAACAAGATCTATACCTGAACAGGAAATAAAACCAAATGTTGATTTAGTGTCAATTGAAGGAGAAAACATTGATCGTAAAATCACAAGAAACCAAAAACGAAAACATGATGAAATTAATCATGTCCAAAAGGTGTGTTTTCTTTTTTATTAAATAGTTATGTGTTTAATTTTTCTTTGCAAAAATAAATTTAAAAATGGCTAAAACATTATGGCCTTTATAAAAAGACAAAATTGTAAGTTGCTATAAAACCAGTTATAATAACACTAATGAAACTGCTTGGTGAACTTATGAGGGTTTGCATCTCTTATTTGGTCTATGGAATGCTTTTGTAACAAGCTTTGAGTTATGCAAGCTCAAACTTATAGGACTGTGTAGTTTTTCTGGGATCTATTTTATATTTGGCACACTTGTATAATTTCAATGTAAATATTTTGCTGGTCATTAATCAATAATAAATCAAATGTTTATTACATATTAGATGTCTTATTTTAAAATTCCTAACTTTCTTTTGTATATATGTTGTAAATATATGAAACTAAAAAAAAAAATTCTATTAAAATTTAAATAAAGCAGTGTTAAAAGTCTCTTTTCATAAAAAAGTTGACTTTTTTCTTCATGCAAATGCAATTAATTTAAGTAATAAATTATATTGAAAATACAAAATTATTAAAAAATTTTCTTTATATACGTTTTCATATTTGTTTGTTATTGATTAATAAATACCTTTTCTATATTTATTTTTCATAAATAAATTGTTAAATCAAAAAGAATTTTCCCGTTGAGTGTTCTAGTTTAGAGTTATGAAGAGATGGACCCTACAACAGCAGCCCTGGAAAAAGAACATGAAGCTATTACACGTGTAAAATATATAGACACTATTGAGATGGGAAAATATGACATTGATACTTGGTATTATAGTCCATATCCTGATGAATATTCAAAACAAAAAAAGTTGTTTATTTGTGAATATTGCATTAAATATATGAAGTTCGAAGCAACATACAGACGTCATTTGGTAATGAAGTACAATTTTATTTGCTAAATAACTAATTAATGAAATTAGATTTGTGCATTAGAATTTTTAAAGATTTTATACATGATTTATATTCAGTTTATAAGCAATTTATACATAATTTATATGCAGTGTTACTGTGCAGTTGATTTGGGACATGAGTAGGACTTAATAAGACTATATATAAAATGAATTTAGGAACTTATATAATCATTGATTATTTAAGAAGTCTCTGAAACAACTTCATTATATAACTATTGAACTTAAATCCAACTTGTTAATTTAGTACTTATTATAATTGCAAGCACATCATAATTGTAAATCTTTATAATGGTAAACTATTATTATTGTAGTTGTAAGCATTATAGCTGCAATTTTTAGTAAATAAGAACTTTTAAGTTGTTAAAAAAAATATATTTAAAGCTCTGGTTTTTTTAACCTCCTTTTTAGGAAAAGTGTAAGTTGCGTCAACCACCTGGTCGAGAAATTTATCGCAAAGATTCTATTTCTGTTTATGAGGTTGATGGTAAAGACTACAAAGTATTTAACTTCTAATTTTGTAATTTTCTGAATTTTTTTTATATTTTTTCTTGATGAAATTTATATATATATATATATATATATATATATATATATATATATATATATATATATATATATATATATATATATATATATATATATATATATTTATATATTTATATAATACACAATTATATATATATACACAATTATATGTATATACACAATTATATATATACACAATTATATATATACACAATTATATATATACACAATTATATATATACACAATTATATATATACACAATTATATATACTTGCTTAGATAAATACTGTGACATCACACAGAAATGGCCTGCTGCCAGGGGCTTCAGTACATTGACTATCTTATAGTCTGCTGTTGCAATGGAGTGCTGCTACATCGACTTAGCAATATAAATTAAAAAAGTTTTGGCATAGCAATCTTCTCTTTCATTATTCTTTGTTTTTGTTATGTTTGATGCAGGTAATCTGCGATGTTTGAACTAGACGGAGCAATGAAAGCCCACAGAGAAATATGAAACATTTCTATTGAAAAAACTTTTTATATAAAGGAGGATAAGTAATAAAAAAAAACAATGAAAAACAAACAGATGTTCAGAATCAACACAGTTTTATTTTAAGAAGAAAAAGCTTATACACAAAACATAGTCAACAGTAATTTTATTGTGAAAGTGTACTTAAAACAGAACAGGATACATAAGTAAATATTAAATACAAATTTTCATTAAATACAATTTTTAACTTACTTTAAAACAAATACACACATGCATAGATATATCAATATTTAAATTGAATAAATTTAAAATGATAGAAGGTTAAAAAAGGACTTTACAACAATTAGCCAAAACTTAATTTCACCCAAATTTGTAAAACACTAATATTTTTGAAGAAATAATTTGGATCGTGAGAGAATAATATAAAATAATTTAAAAATAAAATTATATATATATATATATATTTATATATATATGCACGCATAAATATATATACATATATTTATATCAATATATATATCAATATATATATCAATATATATATATATATATATATATATATATATATATATATACACACACACACTTATATACACATGCAACATATATAAAATACAACAAGTTGCTAAAATTGGTACTTATTGGATAAATAAACCCAAACCGATAAGATATAGAAACATATATGAATTATAAAAACAACAAAGCCATACAAAGTTTAACGTCTTCACAGATATCCATATCAAATGTTGCTAACCAATCAAAAAAAAATTTTCTTAACTAAAGCTCATTCATATAATATGTAAGGCAATCTCTTCAAGTTTTCTTACTTCTACCAATATTTTTTTTACTGCTACTGAAGCTACTACCTCTCTATATGCTGATACCTAAATTACTTTATTCTTTTCTAACAAACACTGTTCAATAAGTTTTTTCTAATCTGTCTAAGAATATGTTTAATTTTTTTGAAATAGCAATTATGTATTTAACCGTTGTTCTGTTGCTTAGATAAGTATATATATATATATATATATATATATATATATATATATATATATATATATATATATATATATATATATATATATATATATATATATATATATATGCAGTATTGGACAAAACATTTGCAACCAACATCGAACAATGCTAAAAAGTGTTCCTAATTTTACATGTCTTAAAAACGAAACGAACTATACTACCACAGCAAACAGTTCAGGAGTCTGGAGTCATAGCATGCCATGACACGAACAATCAGCTGACAGGCAGAATTTCATTGACAAGTGCCATTTTGCAGACAAAACAAGTGCAACTTTTTTGGTTTGTTTCATTTTCTTAAATCTGGTCCGTGTTAATGTCACAGAAGTTTTTTAATAATTAAAGGAAGTATCCAGAAGTTTCCAGAAGCATGCAGAAGTTTCCAGAAGCATGCAGAAGCTTCCAGAAGTAGTATCTGGAAGCATCCAGAAGTATCCAGAAACATTCAGAAGCATCCAGACACATCCAGAAGCTTCCAGAAGCATTGAAAAGAAGCATCTAGAATCTTCCAGAACAGGTTCACACAGGTTCATTTTACTATATAAGAGACATGTAAACGGACATGTAATTCAGTCAGTATATGGAAGTCAATCAGTCAGTATTATCAAGATAGTTTATCAAAGTGAGTTTCATCAAAGTGTTTTATCGAAGAACATCAATACAAGGAGTGAAATACAACAAGTGTTTCATTACATCAATACAGTCCACATCCAACCAAGACGTTGTGTTCCACAGAGCATTATTGTATCATAACAAGGTAAATGTAACACAGTATTATTTTTATGACTTCAAGTGCAAAAATGACTCCTGACAGTCTTGGATTGGAACTAAGAAAGAAAATTATTGGCGATTACGTAAGTGAAATGTCACAAAAAAGTATTTGTGATAAATATCGCGTGAAAAAATGGGCTGTATCAAGACTATGTTCCAAATATTGTTCTCCAGGGAAGTTGGCAGCAAATAACAAAGGTGGAAGACCGCGTTCCACCACTTCTAGAGAGGATTCTATGATCGTCAGATCCGTCAAAAAGGATCCCTTGATATCATCAGTCGAAATACAAAAGCAATTAGAGCTGCCTGTATCAGACCAAACAATCAGACAACGTGCTGTTGAAGCCAGATTGTTTTCTCGACACCCTGCAAAGAAGCGGCTGATTTCACTAAAGAACCAGAAGAAAAAACTTCTGTTTGCTACATCTCATATTGACTGGAATGTGCAGAAACGGTGAACTGTCCTGTTAGTGATGAATCAAAGTTCAACATCATTGGAAGCGATTGCATTTGTCGTGTACGTTGACCAACAGGAAAATGCTTTGATTTACATTACTGCCATAAGACTGTGAAGCATGGTGAAGGCAATGTAATGATCTCGGGGTGTTTTTCTGCTAACGGTCTAGGTCCAATACATCAAATGGATGGAATAATGGATCGTTTCGTGTATAAAAATATCCTGAAAGATGTTGTTACCTCATGCTGAATGGAATATGCCAAAATGCATTTTTTAGCAAGACAACGATCCAAAACACACTGCAAAAGTAGTCAAGCAGTGGTTTCAAGACAACCACCTATCGGTGATGGATTGGCCGCCTCAATCTCCGGATCTCAACCCTATCGAGAACCTGTGGGAGATCGTCAACCGCAGAATTAATTGTGAAGGTATTTGTAATAAGGATCAACTGTTTGAACAAATCCAAAAGGCCTGGGCAGCGATTCCACAAAGTTTCATTTATCCCCTGATCGAATCTATGCCTCGAAGATGCAAGGCTGTGATCGACAACAAAGGATTCACCACGAAACATTGATAGCAAAATACAACTTGGTCAACATTTTGTGGATTTGCACTTGTTTTGTTCAGAAGGAAATCAACTTTTTTTAATACTTTTGATTAACTTATGAATTTTTTTGTACAAATAATAAACTTTTTGATGAATAAAACTTGAAGAACGTTGTCTCTAAACAGTTACATAGTTGTTTCTCTAAATTGAAAAAATGCAGCACTTTTATATAAATAAATTAAATTAGCATTATGTAGTTGCACTTGTTTTGTCCGATACTGTATATATATATATATATATATATATATATATATATATATATATATATATATATATATATATATATATATATATATATATATTAGATTTTTTTAAATTCATATTTAGGTATTTGTTTATTTTCAACAAAGAGCAGGTTTTTAGTATCAAAATATCTAATATTTTAGGGGTTTTTTAATAATTTTATATGCAAAAAGATAATTTTTTGACAAAGTTTATATTGTGTTAAGAATATAAAAGATTTTAAATAAAATAGAGAGAGAAAAATTGTTTCAAAATTTAAATTTAAATTTTCGATTCATTTATCTAACATGCAAATATTTAAACATTTAATTTTAGATCAACATAAAATAATAATAATTTATAAGATGCCACCCAAAAAAAAAAATTAAAATAATTGATTAAACTTTCTTTGTGGGAAAAATAAATTGTACTATTTCCAACAACAAGTTTGCTACTGCACAAGAAATTCTTAAGTACTAAGACTTTCTGAGGAAATCTAGACTTGAAGTTAAACTGAGTTTTATTGTTGGATGCCCAAACAAAAGTGGATCAATCTCACTAAACTGTCTTACCAGTCAGTTAGATTGTTGCATAATATCTAAGCATGTTGTTTCATGGACACATGGTGGCTTTGAAGTAATTGCAACCTAGAAGCTAAGGTAATAATAGATTAAAAACTTTATGCCTTATAAAAAGACTAAAATATATTTTCAATTTTTTTTAAGCACTTAATAATAATAATTTTATTTTATAGGATAAAGGTAGAAAAAATGGTGAAGGACTGGATGAAGCTGAAAAACTTAAGTTAAAGAAACAACCCTGCTGAAGTGAAAAAGAGAAAAAACTTTATTGAAAATATGAAAAAGATTTCAGTACTCAATAAAAAAAAAGCATAAATCTAAATTTAATTATAGTAAGTTAGACAATATATCTGATGCAGACTCTAATACTTTATCAAGTTCTCTTAATACCAATAAAAGTATTTAACTGATTTAACTATAAAAGTATTAACTGATAGTGATTTTGAAATTGAGATACATATTGATCTTAGTTCTGTCAACCTACCCAAGGATATCTTGCATCGTACTGCTCATACAGCAGTTGGAGAGGGTTTAACTCCACATCAACACACAGCGATTCATAGCAGTATTATAGTCAATTCTGATGGATGCACGTCTGATTTTGTATGCTTAAACTAATCTTCATACAGAGCAGCAGAGAACGCTGTGTTTATGGGTGCAAATGAAATCAAAGACCATATAAAAAGAATTTCTAAATCTTCAAATTCTCTAATAACAATTCATTTTGATAAAATAATTGTCAAAGAACTTACTGAAAAAAAAACAGTTTTCAAAAGATAGACTAGCTGTTCTTGCTAGGATTAAAGGAC